GCAAAAATCAACGAAACCAAGAGCTGGTTCTTTGAGAAAATAAACAAAATAGATAAGCCTCTAGCCCAACTTATTAAGAGAAAAAGAGAGTCAACACAAATCAACATAATCAGAAATGAGAATGGAAAAATCACGACAGACTCCACAGAAATACAAAGAATTATTAAAGACTACTATGAAAACCTATATGCCAACAAGCTGGAAAACCTAGAAGAAATGGACAACTTCCTAGAAAAATACAACCTCCCAAGACTGACCAAGGAAGAAACACAAAAGTTAAACAAACCAATTACAAGCAAAGAAATTGAAACAGTAATCAAAAAACTACCCAAGAACAAAACCCCGGGGCCGGACGGATTTACCTCGGAATTTTATCAGACACACAGAGAAGACATAATACCCATTCTCCTTAAAGTGTTCCACAAAATAGAAGAAGAGGGAATACTCCCAAACTCATTCTATGAAGCCAACATCACCCTAATACCAAAACCAGGCAAAGACCCCACCAAAAAAGAAAATTACAGACCAATATCCCTGATGAATGTAGATGCAAAAATACTCAATAAAATATTAGCAAACAGAATTCAACAGTATATCAAAAGGATCATACACCATGACCAAGTGGGGTTCATCCCAGGGATGCAAGGATGGTACAACATTCGAAAATCCATCAACATCATCCACCACATCAACAAAAAGAAAGACAAAAACCACATGATCATCTCCATAGATGCTGAAAAAGCATTTGACAAAATTCAACATCCATTCATGATAAAAACTCTCAGCAAAATGGGAATAGAGGGCAAGTACCTCAACATAATAAAGGCCATATATGATAAACCCACAGCCAGCATTATACTGAACAGCGAGAAGCTGAAAGCATTTCCACTGAGATCGGGAACCAGACAGGGATGCCCACTCTCCCCACTGTTATTTAACATAGTACTGGAGGTCCTAGCCACGGCAATCAGACAAAACAAAGAAATACAAGGAATCCAGATTGGTAAAGAAGAAGTTAAACTGTCACTATTTGCAGATGATATGATACTGTACATAAAAAACCCTAAAGACTCCACTCCAAAACTACTAGAACTGATATCGGAATACAGCAAAGTTGCAGGATACAAAATCAACACACAGAAATCTGTAGCTTTCCTATACACTAACAACGAATCAATAGAAAGAGAAATCAGGAAAACAATTCCATTCACCATTGCATCAAAAAGAATAAAATACCTAGGAATAAACCTAACCAAGGAAGTGAAAGACTTATACTCTGAAAACTACAAGTCACTCTTAAGAGAAATTAAAGGGGACACTAATAAATGGAAACTCATCCCATGCTCATGGCTAGGAAGAATTAATATCGTCAAAATGGCCATCCTGCCCAAAGCAATATACAGATTTGATGCAATCCCTCTCAAATTACCAGCAACATTCTTCAATGAATTGGAACAAATAATTCAAAAATTCATATGGAAACACCAAAGACCCCGAATAGCCAAAGCAATCCTGAAAAAGAAGAATAAAGTAGGGGGGATCTCACTCCCCAACTTCAAGCTCTACTACAAAGCCATAGTAATCAAGACAATTTGGTACTGGCACAAGAACAGAGCCACAGACCAGTGGAACAGATTAGAGACCCCAGAAATTAACCCAAACATATATGGTCAATTAATATTTGATAAAGGAGCCATGGACATACAATGGCAAAATGACAGTCTCTTCAACAGATGGTGCTGGCAAAACTGGACAGCTACATGTAGGAGAATGAAACTGGACCATTGTCTAACCCCATATACAAAGGTAAACTCAAAATGGATCAAAGACCTGAATGTAAGTCATGAAACCATTAAACTCTTGGAAAAAAACATAGGCAAAAACCTCTTAGACATAAACATGAGTGATCTCTTCTTGAACATATCTCCCCGGGCAAGGAAAACAACAGCAAAAATGAGCAAGTGGGACTACATTAAGCTGAAAAGCTTCTGTACAGCGAAAGACACCATCAATAGAACAAAAAGGAACCCTACAGTATGGGAGAATATATTTGAAAATGACAGATCCGATAAAGGCTTGACGTCCAGAATATATAAAGAGCTCACACGCCTCAACAAACAAAAAACAAATAACCCAATTAAAAAATGGGCAGAGGAACTGAACAGACAGTTCTCCAAAAAAGAAATACAGATGGCCAAGAGACACATGAAAAGATGCTCCACATCGCTAATTATCAGAGAAATGCAAATTAAAACTACAATGAGGTATCACCTCACACCAGTAAGGATAGCTGCCATCCAAAAGACAAACAACAACAAATGTTGGCGAGGCTGTGGAGAAAGGGGAACCCTCCTACACTGCTGGTGGGAATGTAAATTAGTTCAACCATTGTGGAAAGCAGTATGGAGGTGCATCAAAATGCTCAAAACAGACCTACCATTTGACCCAGGAATTCCACTCCTAGGAATTTACCCTAAGAACGCAGCAATCAAGTTTGAGAAAGACAGATGCACCCCTATGTTTATCGCAGCACTATTTACAATAGCCAAGAATTGGAAGCAACCTAAATGTCCATCGGTAGATGAATGGATAAAGAAGATGTGGTACATATACACAATGGAATACTACTCAGCCATAAGAAGTGGAAAAATCCAACCATTTGCAGCAACATGGATGGAGCTGGAGAGTATTATGCTCAGTGAAATAAGCCAAGCGGAGAAAGAGAAATACCAAATGATTTCACTCATCTGAGGAGTATAGGAACAAAGGAAAAACTGAAGGAACAAAACAGCAGCAGAATTACAGAACCCAAAAATGGACTAACAGGTACCAAAGGGAAAGGAACTGGGGAGGATGGGTGGGCAGGGAGGGATAAGGGGGGGGAAGAAGAAGGGGGGTATTAAGATTAGCATGCATGGGGGGGAGGGAGAAAGGGGAGGGTGGGCTGCACAACACAGAGAGGACAAGTAGTGACTCTACAACATTTTGCTAAGCTGATGGACAGTAACCGTAATGTGGTTGTTAGGGGGGACCTGATATAGGGGAGAGCATAGTAAACATAGTATTCTTCAGGTAAGTGTAGATTAAAAATTTAAAAAAAAAAAAGAAAGAAAGAAAGAAAAGGGGGATTACTCCTTAACAGGATAAAACTATTGGTAAATCAAAGATCAACGCATGCTTTAAATATCCTTAATGTTGATCACTTAAAGGGTGTCAGATGATCAGCTATGGAGGTACTCTTTTCTGATAATATTCCTTTCTCTTAATTAAAAAAAAAAAAAAAAAGCAGTTACTGTGTGCTGACCTCCAATGAGTTCTGCACAGTGGTATAGAGGGCATGTCAAAGTGTGGGCAAAGGGTCTGTTTGTTTCTACGCAGAAGATCAAGGCCTAGCTTGGATACCCAGAAAATGAACTAAGATACGATATGAGGAGGAGCTTCCGGCATCAGCACTCTCTGGAGGACTCGTGCCGGGGGATGATCATCAAAAAGCCTCCACAGGGATCCGGACGATGCTGCGGTTGTGGCTGCATCCAGCCCACCGTCTCCTGGACTTGCCATAAGAAGGAGGAGGGAGATGTCTAGGCTGGCATGTGCATACAGTGAGACAACGAATTTGACTGGATCTGTACTGTTGGAACTCAACCAGGAGTTGGGAGGGGTGCAAGTTGTAGCACCCCAAAATCTCATGACTATAGACTATCTATGGTTAAAAGAACATATGGGATGTGAACAGATCCCAGAAATGGGCTGCTTTAATTTGTCTGATGGTTCAAGTACAGTTGGACAATATCCATCATATCATAGATAAATTTTCACAAATGCCTAGGGTGCCTAAATGGTTTTCTTGGCTTCACTGGAGATGGCTGGTAATTATAGATTTGCTTTGTTTATGTCACCGTATTCCTATTATGTTAATATGTGTGTGCAAATTAGTTAGTAGTTTAAAACCTATACATACTTAAGGTACTATACAAGAAGATATGTCAAAGAAATAATCAATCCTCCCAAGTTTCCTTCATATGCTACATCTATAGCTTTTCTTCTTCCTTCCTAATTACAACCCTTAAATAGAATTCGTGCCTCATATCGAATTTACCGAGTATCATAATTCCTCCAGGTGGTAAAGATACCTCGAGACAAGTGCTGGGCATAGAAGCCACAGGGCATAAATCTGCAAAGAAGTAAAAAGCTAACCTTTGCAAACAATATGGCTTCTCTCTCACTTACCAACTTTACATTTCCCTGTATGGCCCCGGAAGATGACTGGTTAGCCAGAGACGGGTAAGATTCCTCAAGGGAGGAACAACCTAAGACAGGCACAGTCGCAGGGGGGCCATCAGGTGAGAATTTGGGGATCAACAGAGGTGAGGCTCAGAACCTCACCCCCCCTGCTTTGAGAGAAATCTTCTGCATCCGTGGATGTCTTGCTGCCCTTGTCTAGCCTGGATTAATACTTAGTCCATAGGCACACACCTGATCATCTGATCATCTACATTTGCCTTCTTACAGCACTAAACTATGTTTTCTACCTTTATCTTGCATCTACCTACCACTTCAGCATTTTATTAAAAATAAAAATAATAATAATAATAGGAGAAATGTGGGATCAACATATAAATCAAGTACAAAAATCAAACGAATATTCATATTTGACCTGATTGTTTATAGGTCATAATGCATGATCAAAACCGAAAGTTTCTGTGATGAATGCCCTTGTACTGTTCACCATGTAAGAATTTATTCACTATGTAAGAATTCGTTCACCATGTAAGAACTTGTTCGTTATGCTTCAGAAGATTGGAGACTGACAAGAATTAGGCTTGAGATGGATTAATGATTGTACATTGAGCGTTGACCCCCCTATACTGAATTTTATTGTTGTTAACAACCATTTGATCAATAAATATGAGAGATGCCCTCTCAAAAAAAAAAAAAAAAGAATATTATCTTTTTGTCTCATAAACATCTTTTCTTGTGACACTTTAAGAAATATATACCTTTTTTGTTGTTAGAATTGGCATGATGAGCTGGAAATACGAATTTCCTGACTCCTCTGGCTTTTTCACACTCTTTTCAAAACATTTGAAGAATAGATGATACGAATGTGTTGGTTGATTTCTATGTCTAATGGATTCAAAAATTCTGGGTAATCATCAATCTAAAAAATAAATAAATTTAACTGTTTGAGGACAAATACAACTGCTTACCTGTTCCAGAATAATAAATCCCCTAAATTTAGAACAAGTTAATCTTCAGTCTGTCTTTTTATTTTTTTCCATCAGAAATCTCCCCTTTTCTTGTTAGGTTGCCCAAGTCTTCTGTTTGTTTTAGTCCTTAGGAAAAAATGTGCTCAGAAAGGGAACCCAAGAAACTTAACACTATAGAGTTGCCAAATAAATAGTAACAATGTTTCTGCTTGTTAAAATATCTCCTCCCACCTTCCATTTTGAAAATAGGTTTTTTAAAGAAGTCTCAAAAATGTATAATTACTTGGGTTTAAACTATGCAAGGTTTTTTCTATGCAGGAGACAAGTCCATTTTAGGGAACAGCCTACACAGACTGTGTGAATACAAACATTGAGGTCTGAGCTACTGGAAGTTTCCTGTTCCTGGATAGCTTTCTCTTTTCTCCAAATTGATCTGTTTCTATTCTTGATTAAAAAGGGAAAAGGTCTTGATTAAAAAGGGAAAAGGTCTTAATAAATATGTAGGATTTTTAGATCTTCTCTTTAATAACCTACTTCCCTTTATATGACAGGTAGGCTGCAATAGCATATGACTGAAAAGCTAAGAGGAAAGCAAAGAATCACCAGAAGCATATTTAAAGCCATTAATTCAAGCATTAAGAGGGAGTCCTCTATAGGCGTTTTGCAAGTACTCAGCATTTGGGAGAGGATTAAAGATGGTAGCGTGAGAAGGGAGACACAAACCTCCTCCCCAAACCACATATAATATGAAAATATAGTTAATACAACTAAACCTGAAGGAGCAACAGGAAAGAAGGCTGCGCCAGACTGCATACACGTGGAGAAAAGACAAGACCTCACAGAACAGGGTAACATGCCAAACAAAGCTGTGATCTAGCCGGACCCAAGCCCTTCCCCCACCCCAGCTCACCAGAGGAAGAAAGAGAAATGGGCAGTGGGAGCAGAGAGAGGGTGGAGGCCTAGGACTGCTGAACACCCAGCCCTGGAGATCTGCTCCTGGGAGCATGAACATTAATTACATGGTGCTCTGGAGATTAGTGGGGTTGGAAAGCTAAAACAGGTTGAATACTTGGAGAGACTGAGATTCCAGCTGCTTGTGGAAAACAGGGATCCACATCCGGCCGCTCTTGGAAAAAAGAAAGGCAGGCAATCTGAGAGACTTTCTAACAGTGAGAGGGCTGCTAAAGGGGCAAGGAATGCACAGAGCTTACTGCTCAGGAGAAAGGACAGGTAGACAAAATTGTTCAGGAGCACTCTGCCCAGCATATTGGGAACTTTCAGGAGCTTCAGGCAGTCCAGCCCCTGGCTGGCTATGCAGCTCCAAGGCCCCCTACCATGATACACAGCCTGCTGTGCCTTTCTCCTGGCCAGCACCAGTTCGAAAACCAGCTGCACCCACAATTGAGCCAGGCCAGCCAGAGAGAGGCCCTGCCTATGGCAGCTACAAGAGCAAAGCTTAGAGGCTTCTCCCTGTGCACTCGATCCACTGGCCCTGACAGTGGAGCCGGCATTGCAGCCAGGAAGCAGGAAACAGCTCTCTCCTACCAACAGGCACCAGCTCTGCTCACCTGCAACCCCTGCCACCCCTCCAAGGGCTGAGCAGCCCCAGAGAGTAGAGCTTCTGGGCACTAGAGGGCACCACTTACAAATATGAAATGTCAAAGGAACCTGGAGCAAACCGAAATCCCACAAAAACCAGAAAGAGGGTCAAGTGAAACTGAACTCATCAATCTTCCTGAAAGAGATTTCAAAATAAATATCATAAACATGCTCACAGAGCTAAAGAAAAATATTCAAGAGCTTAGGGAAGAATTCAGGAACAAGATTTAATCATTAAAGAATACAGTATCTGAAATGAAACACACAATGGAGGGATTTAAAAGCATTTGGGTTAAAATGTTTCCAGAGATTATCCAGTTTCATCCTCTCTTCACAAATATCTGAAGGAAGTATCAAATAAGAATAATAAAAATTTTAAAAGCTAATTCAGAATAGTTGAAGATAGGAAGATGGATTAATGAAACGCTATCAAGATCTACTCAAATTTAATTTAAAAATTATTTTCAAATATATAGAGTAATTCCAACCAGACTAAAGAAGCATAGCCCAGTGGAGGTCTGCAGAGGAGGTGCTTTAGTTATTGTTTCATACTTAGTATAGGATTCTCTTTGGCACAAGTCCTCGTAAATGTCTGAAGTTATTTGAGACCTGCAAAATTATGTTTATAAAATTAGAATTATACATATAGCTGAGTTTTCTGTTTTGTATAACTCTGTATTATGAGTATTTTCCTCTTGCCTTTGTCAGGAAAACATATTAAAAGCTTTGAAATAGGCAAAAAATATTTTCTATATGTTCTCTACCTTTTATCATCTTTGAGCTGTTTTAAAACTCTTTAAGTTGTAAAAAACTAGTAATAATGCAAATGATATTGCTCATACTGTTACAAATTGATAATGTCTAGTAGATTACTGATTATTGCCCTTTGATAGGGAGAATAGCTGTTGGCTATCTTCTCCAGTGAGATTTTGTGTTTCTGTGTTCACTAATCTGAAATAAGCTTTTTCTGTATCTGTGTATCTGTAATTCAGAAGAGCCTTTAATTCTTGTTGTGTTAGTGGGCAACCTTTTCCTATTTCTAGAAGGTACTAGTAAATTAATTATAAGGACTCTTAAAGGAGCTCTGTTCTGATGGCTTTTATAGAGATAAATACACTTACATAAGTAACATTTTTTTGTGATTCTCTGAAAATAAGGACACTTAACATAATATTTATATATTCTATACATAAAAAAATATTAATATGAAAATAAACACTAAGAAGTCATTAGAATATGATCATGTAATTAATGTATGTCTTTGACAAACAAGACTAATTTAATGGTTTTGGTGTAAAAACAACTAAATCTCAGATTTATCATGTAACATAAAAAATACATGTATTTTACTCTGCTGGGTTTTATTTTTCCTAAATTTATACAGATTTACTAATCAACTAAGCTAACACTATTCATAAATAATGTTAACAGTTATAAAAATTTAAATTTGTGCTTAAAAATATTTTTTGCAAGGGCTTTATCATCTTTGTTTTGCATGCCATAGGAATAACCAAATTTTCCAGTCAGTTGTTTATCTTTCATATGAACCCTTTTACATTTGATATCAAACCTTTTACATTTGAAAGTTCTCAATGATAAACTAACCACAGCCATTTGAAGTCTGTCTTCTACAGATAGGTTTTTGTTTTATTGTGATACTTACTTGAAGGTTCTACTGTAAGCAAAGAATTAGAGTTTGTGTCTGTAACAAAGGACAGTCTCAGGGATTCCTAGAAAAATAATTGAACCAGGTTCTTCAAGCAGAACACTTTACAGCCAAGCTAAATTAGGCAACTTTCAGACTATACCAGTGGGCTGAATGAGGATTTCTAGGACTCTATTAGGTCAAGAAGCAGGTGACTTTGTGAGATTCCTGACACAAAATATACCAGAACAAGAATTAACTTTATAGAACTAAATGAAAGTGATAACGGAAATTTTATTGTGGTTATTTGCTTGAAATATTATGGATGTTGTTTTCTTGGGATTAAAGATGGCGGCAGGAGAGGTGAGACAGAGAACTCCTCCTAAAACCACATATAATATGAAAATATAATTAATACAACTAATCCCGAAAGAGCAACAGGAAAGAAGGCTGCACCAGACTGCACACACCTGGAGAAAGAGCAGACCTCACAGAACAGGGTAACATACCAAAGCTGTGATCCGGCAGGGCCCAAGCCCTTCCCCCACCCCAGTTCACCAGCAGGAGGAAGACAAACAGACCAGGGAGGGACTGGAGGCCTGGGACTGTAGAACACCTAGCCCTGGAGATCTGCTGTGGGAACACTAACCTACTTTGCACAGTGCTCTCATGATTAGTGTGGTTGGAAAGCTAAGACACATGGAATACCTGGAGAGACAGAGATTCCAGCTGCTTGTGGAAAACAGGGATTCATATCCAGCTGATCTAAGCAGGCAGTCTGAGAGACTTCCTAACAGTGAGAGGGCTGCTAAAGGGGCAAGAATTGCACAGAGCTTACTTCTCAGGAAAAAGGACAGGTAGACAAAATGTTGAGGTGCACTCTGCCCAGCAAGTTGGGAGATTAAACCATCTTCAGGTGCTCCATCCTGCTGGCTGGCTATGCAGCTCCAACGCCCCCCACCATGATACACAGCCTGCTGGGACTTCCTCCCGCTAGCCTGCACCTGGCTCGCAAACCAGCAACCCCTGCTCCAGTGTCAGGCCAGCCATAGGGAAGCCTTGCCTATGGCAGCTACAAACACAAAGCACAGAGGCTTGCTCCTGTGTGTTTGGCCCACTGGTTCTGGCAGTGGAGAAAGGCATAGCAGCTGGGAAGCAGGAAACAGCTTTTTCCTACCCCCAGGCAACAACATGGCTCCCCTTTGACACCCAACATTGCTCCAGGGGCTGAGCAGCTCCAGAGAGTAGAGCACTACTCTCTGGGCACTAGAGGGCACCACAGACAAATATGAAACATCAAAGGAACCTGGTTCAAACCAAAATTATGAATACACCTGAAAAAGATTCAAATGAAATTGACCTCATGAATCTCCCTGAGATTTTGAAATAAAAATCAGTAACATACTCATGGAAGTACAGAAAAATATTCAAGAACTCAGGAACGAAGTTAGGACAGAGATTCAATCATTGAAGAACACAAGGGAGGGTATTAAAACTAGATTAGATATGGTGGAGTAGACAATAAATGAAATAGAAATTAGGGAAGAGGAATAAAAAGAAGCTGAGGCACAGAGACAAAAAAGGATCTCTAAGAATGAAAGAATACTGAGAGAATTGTGTGACCAATGAAACAGAACAATATTCGTATTATAGGGGTACCAGAATAAGAAGAGAGAAAAAGGTATAGAAAGAGTCTTTAAGGAAATA